ATTTACCGCTATTGTTTTGGGGTTATGCTTTAGAGACAGTTGCATTCACGTTAAATAGGGCACCATCTAAATCCGTTGAGATGACGCCTTATGAATTGTGGTTTGGCAAGAAACCAAAGTTATCGTTTCTTAAAGTTTGGGGCTGCGATGCTTATGTGAAAAAGCTTCAACCTGATAAGCTCGAACCCAAATCGGAGAAATGGGTCTTCATAGGATACCCAAAGGAGACTGTTGGGTACACCTTCTATCACAGATCCGAAGGCTAAACATTCATTGCTAAGAATGGATCCTTTCTAGAGAAGGAGTTTCTCTCGAAAGAAGTGAGTGGGAGGAAAGTAGAACTTGATGAGGTAATTGTACCTGCCCCCTTATTGAAAGTAGTTCATCACAAAAATCGGTTCCTGTGACACCTACACCAATTAGTGAGGAAGCTAATGATATTGATCAAGAAACTTCAGATCAAGTTACTACCGAACCTCGTAGGTCAAAAAGAATAAGATTCACACCAGAGTGGTATGGTAATCCTATTTTAGAGGTCATGTTACTTGACCATAGCGAACCTACGAACTATGAGGAAGCAATGATGAGCCCAGATTCCGCAAAATGGCTTGAGGCCATGAAATCTGAGATAGGATCCATGTATGAGACCAAAGTGTGGACTTTGGTTGACTTGCTCGATGATCGACAAGCCATCGAGAATAAATGGATCGTCAAGAAGAAGACTGACGCTGACGGTAATGTTACTGTCTACAAATCTCGACTTATTGCAAAAGGTTTTCGACAAGTTCAAGGAGTTGACTACAATGAGACTTTCTCACCCGTAGCGATGCTTAAGTCCGTCCGAATCATGTTAGCAATTGCTGCATTTTATGATTATGAAATTTGGCAAATGGATGTAAAGACTGCATTCCTGAATGGATTTCTGGAAGAAGAGTTGTATATGATGCAACCTGAAGGTTTTATCAGTCCAAAAGATGCTAACAAAGTGTGCAAGCTCCAGCGATCCATTTATGGACTGGTGCAAGCATCTCGGAGTTGGAATAAATGTTTTGATAATGTGATCAAAGCATATGGTTTTATACAGACTTTTGGAGAAGCCTGTATTTACAAGAAAGTGAGTGGGAGCTCTGTAACATTTCTAATATTATATGTGGATGACATATTGTTGATTGGAAATGATATAGAATTTCTGGATAGCATAAAAGGATACTTGAATAAAAGATTTTCAATGAAAGACCTCGGTGAAGCTACTTATATATTGGGCATCAAGATCTATAGAGATAGATCAAGACGCTTGATTGGACTTTCATAAAGTACATACCTTGATAAAGTTTTGAAGAAATTCAAAATAGATCAAGCAAATAAAGGGTTCTTTCATGTGTTACAAGGTGTTAAGTTGAGTCAAGCTCAATGCCCGACCACTGCAGAAGATAGAGAAAAAATGAAAGGTGTTCCCTATGCTTCAGCCATAGGCTCTATCATGTATGCAATGCTATGTGCCATACCTGATGTGTGCCTTGCTATTACTTTAGCAGGGAGGTACCAAAGTAATCCAGGAGTGGATCACTGGATAGCGGTCAAGAACATCCTGAAATACTTGAAAAGGACTAAGGATATGTTTCTCGTTTATGGAGGTGACAAAGAGCTCGTCGTAAATGGTTACATCGATGCAAGCTTTGACACTGATCTGGACGATTCTAAATCGCAAACCGGATACGTGTTTATATTGAACGGTGGAGCTGTCAGTTGGTGCAGTTCTAAACAAAGTGTCGTGGCGAGATCTACATGTGAAGCGGAGTACATAGCTGCTTTGGAAGCAGCAAATAAAGGAGTCTGGATGAAAGAGTTCATATCCGATCTAGGTGTCATACCTAGTGCATCGGGTCCAATGAAAATCTTTTGTGACAATACTGGTGCAATTGCCTTGGCAAAGGAATCCAGATTTCACAAGAGAACCAAGCACATCATGAGACGCTTCAATTCCATCCGTGACCAAGTCCAGGTGGGAGACATCGAGATTTGCAAGATACATACGAATCTGAATATTGCAGACCCGTTGACTAAGCCTCTCTCTCGAGCAAAACATGATCAACACCAAGACTCCATGGGTGTTAGAATCATTACTGTGTAATCTAGATTATTGACTCTAGTGCAAGTGGGAGACTGAAGGAAATATGCCCTAGAGGCAATAATAAAGTTGTTATTTATATTTCCTTATATCATGATAAATGTTTATTATTTATGCTAGAATTGTATTAACCGGAAACTTAGTACATGTGTGAATATATAGACAAATAGAATGTCACTAGTATGCCTCTACTTGACTAGCTCGTTGAATCAAAGATGGTTAAAGTTTCCAAGCCATAGACATGAGTTATCATTTGACTAACGGGGTCACATCATTAGAGAATGATGTGATTGACTTGACCCATTCCGTTAGCTTAGCACTTGATCGTTTAGTATGTTGTTATTGCTTTCTTCATGACTTATACATGTTCCTATGACTATGAGATTATGCAACTCCCGAATACTGGAGGAACACTTTGTGTGCTACCAAACGTCACAATGTAACTGGGTGATTATAAAGGTGCTCTACAGGTGCTTCCGATGGTACTTGTTGAGTTGGCACAGATCGAGATTAGGATTTGTCACTCTGATTGTCGGAGAGGTATCTCTGGGCCCTCTCGGTAACGCACATCACTATAAGCCTTGCAAGCAATATGACTAATGAGTTAGTTACGAGATGATGCATTACGGAACGAGTAAAGAGACTTGCCGATAACGAGATTGAACTAGGTATTGAGATACCGACGATCGAATCTCTGGCAAGTAACATACTGATGACAAAGGGAACAACGTATGTTGTTATGCGGTTTGACCGACAAAGATCTTCATAGAATATGTAGGAGCCAATATGAGCATCCAGGTTCCGCTGTTGGTTATTAACCATAGACGTGTCTCAGTCATGTCTACTTAGTTCTCGAACCCGTTGGATCCGCACGCTTAATGTTCGGTGACGATCGATATTATGAGATTATGTGTTTTGATGTACTGGAGGAAGTTCGGAGTCCCGGATATGATCACGGACATGACGAGGAGTCTCAAAATGGTCGAGACATAAAGATCGATATATTGGATGACTATGTTTGGACTTCGGAAGTGTTCCGGGCAAGATCGGGCATATACCGGAGTATCGGGGGGTTACCGGAACCCCCCGGGAAGTATAATGGGTCTCATGGGCCTTAGTGGAGAAGAGGAGGGGCGGCCAAGGCAGGGCCGCGAGCCCCCTCCCCCTCTAGTCCGAATTGGACAAGGAGGGGGTGGCGCCCCCCTTTCCTTCCCCCGTCTCTCCCCCTTCCCCCTTCTCCTACTCCTACTAGGAAAGGAGGAGTCCTACTCCCGGTGGGAGTAGGACTCCCTCCTTGGTGCGCCCTCCTCCTTGGCCGGCCGCCTCCCCCCTAGCTCCTTTATATACGGGGGCAGGGCGCACCCCAAGACACACAAGTTGATCATTGATCTTTAGCCGTGTGCGGTGCCCCCCTCCACCATAATCCACCTCGGTCATATCATAGCGGTACTTAGGCGAAGCCCTGCGTCGGTAGCTTCATCAACACCGTCATCACGCCATCATGCTGACGGAACTCTCCCTCGAAGCTCTACTGGATCGTGAGTTCATGGGACATCACCGAGCTGAATGTGTGCAGATCGCGGAGGTGCCGTACGTTCGGTACTAGGATCGGTCGATCGTGAAGACGTATGACTACATCAACCGCGTTGTCATAACGCTTCCGCTTACGGTCTACGAGGGTACGTGGACGACACTCTCCCCTCTCGTTGCTATGCATCACCATGATCTTACGTGTGCATAGGAAATATTTTGAAATACTACGTTCACCAACACTAGGGTACCCCTCCTTCCCGATACCACTCGACCATGCAAGAAACCACTCAACCTACTGAAGACCAGGAGTCGCACAGGACAGCAACGGTCAAGCATTCACTATGTAGTCTTCAAAGGCATTAATAACACTTTATAGCTGACGTTATCAGTAAGTCCCCTCTTTATGTACATTGAACTCTCTGTAACGGGGGATGGCTGGGGTTCTGACGCACTCTATATAAGCCACCCCCTCCTCTGGGACAAGGGTTCGCACCCCCTATAACACACACACGCATACTGAAATCCAGTCGACCGCCTCCGGGCACCGAGACGTAGGGCTTTTACCTCCTCCGAGAGGGGCCTGAACTCGTAAACACTTGTGCACAACCTCGCCGTAGCTAGGACCTTGCCTCCTCATACGTACCCCCTACTCTTACTATCAGTCTTAGTACCACGACAGCCGCCGCCGTCGCAGCCGCAGATCTGAGTCGCCACCGCCGTCGGTGCCAACAACGGAGGAGGGCTTGTCCTACAAATAGAGGTGAGCGAGTAAATGGGGTGGTGAGGGGATATTTGGCGCCATCCCGCCTCGGCCGATTTTCCCATCTCGCCATCTCCTTCCGCATCCCTTACACTGCGCCCTACGCCGCGTCTTCATTGTTCGCCCCACTCAGCCTAGCTCGCTGGAAACGGCCGATTTGAGCGTTCCCAGCGAGCCAGTCTGTGGGGTGATTTAAGTTCCATGCAGATGCAAGCCAGGCCGGCCTGCAGGCAACCAAACGGCCTATTTTCATCTTGCCGGGCCTGATTGGGCTGTATGCTGCCTACCAAACGTGTCCTTGAACTTGTTTAGTAAGATGTTTAGTGGCCAAAAACCTCTAGTAATGTTGGCTTGCAAAAAATGTCTTGGAGAGCCCGACCTGTGGGAAATTTTCAAGACTGATGCTGACAAAATGTTTGTGTTTGAAGACATAGTCTCTTTTGCGGCTGGGAGATTTGCACTTTGGAGGAGAATGGGGGTGTTGGCTCCTTCATCATCTTCAAAAAGTGTGCATCGTAGGATTTGTTGATGTAATATAGGTTGGCAATGCTATCTGTAGCCTGGTTGGGTTTGTAAGACATGATTTCTAATTGGCGGGTGCTAAGCGCCGGCGCGCCGGGCCTAAATTTGGGCCGATCACACCAACACCATGCGATTCAGCAAATTAGAGACGTACGATCTTCTTCCTTCTTCCCCTGTGTCCTCTTTTCTGGGAAACATCCCCATGGTGTTGTGGATGAACGATGCGCCCGGCCTAGAAGCACTGCCCAACGCATCTCGCCGGTCGCTGCCCTCGCCGCCGGTCGCCGCCCCTCGTTGTCGTCGTCTCCTGTGTTTCTCGCCGGCTCCGTGCATGCAGCAGCGTGTCCTGTAGTTGCAGCTCCCCATGACGGCGATCGCAGCTCCTGTGACGGCAACTGCAGCTCTGGCGTGCGCCTGTTCCAGCTCGCAGCACCTGTGTCGCCCTGCTCTGTCGCCCATGGTATCAATTTAGATGTTGTTCATAGAAAAAACGACATTCCAGCAAAAAAACAAGGTTCCAGCAAAAAAATTGTGTGGTTCCAGCAAAACATTTATATGCTTATCGCAAAAAAATACATGGTTTCCAGCAAAAAAATTGTATAGTTCCAGCAAAAAAAGCAAAATGGCAAAAGAAAAAATTGGCATTGTTCTGTAGCGTCTCCCCTCTCGCCGCAGTCGTAGCAGCACCTCGCTAATCCCGTTGTAACATCTCATCTTGCCGATTGTAGCAAAAAAAAGAAAAGGAATAAAAGCTCACCATTCCATGGCGGCACTGCCGCCATAGCCTGAAGCTGGTCACCGCTCATCGTCTGCAGCTTCCAAGGACGCCGGTTGCAGCTCCTTTGGATGCCTATTCCAGCTTCCCGCTATCCACGGTTGCAGCTCGCCGCAGCAGTCGGGGTTCTCATGGACTCCGGATATAGCTCTTCTGAACATCGTTTGCAGCTCCCCAATCCATGGTTGCAGCTGCCTTCTGGTCGCCGGGAAGAGGTTGTAGCTCCACCATCTCGCCAGTTGTGTTGTGACCTCGCCGGGGGAAAGAAAGAGGAGGGGATTTGCTATGACCTCGCCGAGAGAGAGAAAGAGGAGGGGATTTGCTCGGGCATGGCCGCTTCGTGGGAGAAGAAACGAGTGGATAGAAGTGGTTCCAGGTGAAGATAAGGACGCGTTGTTTGTAAGTCCCACGTGGATCCCGCCCGATCGAACGCGTCCCGTGTGACTTCGACCGGTGAACCGGGTGGAAAGGTTTTCCTTTCTAATAACAGAAATCGGAGAGGAAACTCTTTCTTCTTAAAGAAATCTAGGAATAATTCTAGCATGGGGTGATCGATGCATTGGAAATTAGAATGAATTTTAAATTAGTACAATCCATTGTGTGGCAAGAAAAGAGAGGGCCCCGACCTCTCGCTTAACACCAACGTTAGACTACTCCGAAGGAAAATGATCACTGCTTACAGGAAAGGAAAGAAGAAGAAAACACTGCATGCGTAGCGTCCCCGTACGAGGGGCTCCTCTTCCCACGAACCTCGAAGCTTCGGAACCATATATCTCCAGATGTGATTGCGCCCACACGGCCACACGCGTCCCCTCCCACTGACCACCTGTCCCCTCCACCTCCAGCGTCGCCGCCTACAGCCTTAGCGCTAGCGCTGCAAAGAGCAAAGGCGCACTTCAATAGCTTGCGGAAGAGTGCAGTTCGTCGCGAACTCGGGGATCACCACTCAGACAGAGGAGAAAGTCAGCATCTTGGACCATGCTGCCAACACGTTTCCCTAGCCGCGGTGCCGACAACGGTGCGGGGCTGGAGACCCTGCTGCCAGCAGCTTCCCGCGCCGTGCTGTCGGAGTTCATAGGCACCGCCGTGTTCGTCTTCGCCGCCGAAGGCTCCGTCTACGGCCTCTGTACGTGAAGAATTTGGTTTGATTGTTGTCACGCATCCTCTCGCGTACATGGACATTTCCCGGTGCTCTGTGTGCGTGTGTGAAGATTTTGGTTCTGTTTGTATGGCAGGGAAGATGTACAAGGACACGGGCACGCTGGGGGGCCTGCTCGTGGTGGCGGTGGCGCACGCGCTCGCCCTGGCCGCGGCGGTGGCGCTGGCGAGCGACGCCTCGGGCGGGCACGTCAACCCGGCCGTCACCTTCGGCGTGCTCGTCGGCAGGCGCATCTCCTTTGCGCGCGCCGTGCTCTACTGGGCGGCGCAGCTTCTCGGCGCGGTGCTCGCCGCCGCTCTCCTCAGGATCATCTCCGGCGGCGTGGTAATTAAGCTGTTCTCTTCTCAACAAGCGCTTTTTTTTTCTGCACTGCGTTGCCTTTGATTAAGTTGTTTCGAGTTCAAGCACATTTGTCTGAAAAAGTCACCACGCTCAAATTCGTGGCCAGAAGCATTTACCGAGCATGGCACCGTTGCTCGGCTACATTTTGGTTGTTCTTGAGCCTACCAACAAATTCAAAGAAACGGTTGCGTATTTTCCTCTCGGCGAGAGTTGTCTGCACACACGTACACACGTCATGTCCGCCACGTCTCATTTCTATGTGTCTTGGTCTTGTCCTGCAGCGCCCCATGGGGTTCATGCTCGGCCACGGCATCCACGAGCGGCACGCCCTGCTGCTCGAGGTCGTCATGACGTTCGGGCTCATGTACACCGTGTACGCCACGACCGTCGACCGGAACCGTGGCGGCAACGTCGGCGCCATCGCGCCCATCGCCATCGGCTTCGTCCTGGGCGCCAACATCCTCGCCGGCGGCCCCTTCGACGGCGCCGCGATGAACCCGGCGCGGGCGTTCGGCCCGGCCCTCGTCGGCTGGACCTGGCGCCACCACTGGGTCTACTGGGTCGGGCCGCTGATCGGCGCCGGGCTGGCCGGCGCACTGTACGAGTTTGTGATGGCTGAACAACCCGAGGAGCCGGCGGCTGCGGCCACGCGTGGGCTGCCCGTGCCCGCCGAGGATTACTGAGCTGCGCTCTGCATCTGCTGTAACTAATTAGCACCTGCAGTACATATTACGGAAAACGGAAATAAATTCAAATAAAGAAGAGAGAGGGAGTCAGAGTCCGATTCCAAGCCGGTTAGTAATGGCACTTCGTGTTGGGGTTCATCACGGTGTGGTGTGATACTGTGATAACGACATACCGTGCGGGCAAGTAGATATAATGCCAGCCTCAGCTAGCACCTGACTCGTATCTTGGCTAACCCAATGTCTTGGTCTGAGCTCCCGGAGGACCTCGGCGACTCGATCCTCCGCCGCCTCCGGCGCCACGATGATCGCGTCTGCTTCGGCGCCGTCTGCCGGCAGTGGCGCTCCTGTGCATGGCGGAACAGCCCTCCGTCGCTCTTCCCGTGGCTCGCCTTACCGGACCAGACCTTTTACAGCTTGCCCGACTCGGCTTTCCGGCCGCTGTCGCTCCGTCTTGACTTCCATCGCCAGGTACCGCATGCCCAGAGCTCCTGCGGCGAGTGGCTCGCCTATGAGCGCATCGACGGCGCCTACACGCTGGTGAGCCCTTTCTCCGTGGCCACCACCATGGTGCTCTCTCGGCTATCCGCAGGACCGGCCTTGTCGGAGCCGTTCGTCAGGAAGCTGGTCGTGTGCTCGCCCAACCTTGTCGTTGCGGTCGTTGGTGAGGAAGGGATTCACAAGCTGGCCTTGTGCCGGCCAGGAGCGGCGTCCTGGGTGGTGATCGCCCACGACCAGCTGAGGCGAGTTCAAGACATGATCTTCTATCAAGGCAAGCTCTACATCCTCCAGGAGACCCGCGACCACCTCCTCTCCGTCTCCGTCGGCGAGGACAGAACCGGCGAGCCGACCGTGACCCGGGTGGATAGACTTATGCAGGTCCCTACATGGGGCTACATCGAGTCGCCGCTGCAATACCTCCTGGAATCTGACGGCGCGCTGCTGATGGTGCGCAGAGAGGATCCTAACACACGAGACCCCTTACAATTCTTGGGAGACGGTGGAGGGCGTTTGCACAAGGTAGGCGCGGGCTTGGAGAAGCCCACTGAATTCACGGTGTTCGCGGCGGACTTGGCGGGATCACGGTGGACGGAGGTGAGCAGCGTCGGGGAAGTCCGGGTGCTGTTCGTCGGGCAATGGTGCTCCCGAGCTGTACGCGTCCCGGACCAGTGCAAGGAGTACGTCGCGGGGGACCGTATCTTCTTCGTGGACGCTCATGCTGCCCGCGGCTACGCCGACCCGTGCTACCGGAAGAAGGTCTGGTTTTACTGCAGCGTCCACGACATGGGGGAACCGCGGTCTCGAACGTATCTGAGGATCAAGGTACGGCCGCTGAAAGGGTTTCCCGTTGCGTGGCTGTTCCCTCGTTTGGAGCCGGTGATGAACAGCTAGCCTGAACGGTTATCCTATGCAAAAAATTGTTGTTATGCTAATAGTTTTTCTTTATTTTTTTATCTATTCATCTTCAATCATGACAGTACAACAAAAATTAAAAATAATAAAAATTACATCAAGATCCGTAGTCCACGACTATAAGCACGAAAGCGAGCCGAAGGCGCGCCGCCGTCATTGGAGTCGGGCAAACCTTGTTGTAGTAGACAGTCGGGAAGTCGTTGTGCTAATTAAGGCCCCATATGACGAACGCACAAGAACAACAACCGCCACCGATGAAGAGTAGTATAGATCGAAAGGATCCAACTTGAGAACACACAAACGTAGACGAACGACGAGCAGGTCCGAGCAGATACACCAAACACAGGTCGACTGGAGACATGCCTCCACACTTCCACCGGAGATGCTAGACGCACCGCCTTGGCGGGGCTAGGCAGGGAGAATCGTATTCCATCTTCAAGGAACCGCCGCCGTCTCATCTTCCGGAGCAAGACACAAACCCTAACAGAATTCAAAGAAATGTTTGAAAACGGAGCCCTCCCACCGACAAAGGCTGTGATCCACGACGCCCCCATGGCCCTAAGGCCACTGGAGACGAGGTGGACAGACGGCGGCAGCGGTGGGAGATAGATGAACCCTAATAATAGTTGGATGGGATGATTTGGGTATGTGCACCGGTTGATAAGGCTTTTTTATGTAATAATTCACATCATCTAGAGAAAAAATAAAACTTTTTTTTTCTAACCAGCCGAGTTACACTCATTTCGCGATAAAAAAACCATTCAAGTTCAGATTGAATGGCATCACATATTCACATCTACATGAATAGGAGTTTCCCTTTACTTTTCGGTAAGGGTACAAAACCACTCAAATTCAGATTCATTCCTCTGCCCCAGATACTTGCTCTCCTCTACAAGCAGAAGCAACAATGCTCTTCCTTGTAGCTAATGCAACTCAACTCCTTCAAGTCAATCAACCCACTTTTCTTATTGATAACCTGACTCTTGCTAAGGTTACGACAGTTAGGGATGTGGCTCGAGACATAATTCATCGGTCCATTAGGAAGTCTCTAGCAGATTACTTCAAAATCACTAAAGACCTTCATCCTCGGGTGTATCACATCTCTAGAGAAACAAATGACAAAACTCACAATGTTGCTCATCATGTTCTAAATAATTATGCAAAACCTGCTTTTAGAGATATATGGCATGCCCTATAATTTCCTTGCTTTCTCTGCAAACTTCTGGGGTTTTATACTCCATGTTGTAAACTACTCCCTCCGTCCCATAATGTAAGACATTTTTTGACACTACACTAATGCTAGAGAACATCTTACATTATGGGACGGAGGGAGTATATTTGAGCTAAATGAATTTGGTGCCTTGGGCGCCTTTTAGTGTTAAAACACTATGAGTAAGCCAGGGACATGTAAAATCTTAGTACAAAGATCCAAATGTCTAGTATTTCCTCTGTTTCAAAGTAATTGAAGTTCTAGGTTGTCTTAAGTCAAACTTGTTTAAGTTTGAGCAGGTCTAGAGAAAAATATATTAACACCCAGAAAACTAAAGTACTCTCATGAGATTCTTTATAAAATGTATTCTCGTATGACATGTATTTGTTATTGTTGACCTTAGCATACTTTTCTATAAAAGTTGGCCAAGTTAAACAATTTTGACTTAGAACAAATCTAGAATTTCAAATATTTTAAAACGCGGAAAGTATAACCAACCTCTTTGCAAATTTAGAACTCTAGACTATTTTTTGAGTAGAAGACCGAATTTTATAATCAAGTAAAACACAGTGCATCAGATTATACAAGGAAATCTTAGAACAACTTCTGAATTTTTCTATTTCTTGAGAACAGAACAATTATTGACCTTTTTTTAAGGAACAACTGATGACTAAGTAGACAATTTTTTCCTTTGAGGGGACTAAGCAGACAGGTGCTTCACAGTTCGATGCTCGTCTAGATAGGTTGGGCCAAGATGCAGGCCTGGCGGCTGTCGTACATCACGACCCTTCTTCATAAGGCCCACGCATGCAGACCATGTGTAATAATTCACTCCACATGGTCCGGGTCCTGAAGGAAACACCTACAACCTCCACTTCGGGCGCCTCTATGTCTTTACTTCACGCGAGACAGAGGGAAGTCTCGCCCGAAGGGAGGCGCGAGATGGGCTGACCTAGGTGCACCGGAGGCCACAAATCTCAGTTTTACTTTCACATTTTTTTTAATTTTATGCTTTATATTTTACTTCTGTTTACACTTCCAAATATTCTAAATGAATATAATACAGAAAACACTTTACATAAAAACATTTAAAAAAATTGTTAAATGTGTATAGTGAAGGTGTTTCTCATGTATACAAAAAAATGTGTATAATATTTTTTGATCATGTATTAAAAAAATGTTAATCAAGCATTTGGAACAAAAAGTTAAACAAGTATTTGAAAACTGTTAATCAAGCATTTTTAAAATATTTAATATGTATAGAAAAAAGTATTGGCCATGTATTAAAACATATTTTAATCTTGCATTTAAAAGATGTTAACCGAGCATTTGATATATATATATATATATATATATATATATATATATATATATAATGTGTATAAAAATATATTGACTATGTATTAGAAAAATGTTAGTCTTATACCTTAAATATGTAATCAAGCATCCGAAAACGTTAATATGTGTACAGGAAAAAATGTTGACCATGTATTAAAATGTTAATATTATATTTAAAAATGTTAATCAAATATTTTAAAATGTTTACAAAAAACATTGACCGTGTAAGCAAAACATGTAAAATTTGTATTTAAAAATATTAAACATGTAATAGAAAAATGTTCTTGACGTATACGGAAAAAGTAAAATGAAATCCAAAAGAAACAAGGAAACACGAAAAAACCAATGAAAACCCAAAAAAGAAACATGAAAAAACCAATGAAAGCCCAAATAAGAAACAAAGGAAACCAAAGAAAAATAAAAAAAACCCGAAAAAACAAGTGCAAAAGAATGAAAAATAGTGAAAACCGATAAAGAAAAACAAAAGAAAACCGTTGAAAACGAAAAAACTAAGAAAAAAAGGGAAAAGGAGAAAAAAAACAACCCAATGAAACCATGAAAGAAACAAACAGTAATCAAAGAAATAAAAAAAATCAAAAGTTTAGCGACAGAAAGACAGAGAAGAAATAATGAAAAGAAAAAAAATCCGAATGAAGACGTCAGCAAAGAGATCGACCAACGAACGAGCGAGTAACACTCTGTTGGGCCGGCTCATACGCCTGCGCGCTGCTAGTCTCGCTATAAGCGAGACATAGCATTTGCGCTGCACCTCTGCGTTCGCCCGCGGCTCCAGAAAAGATCCCCTCCGCCCCCGACCCCGAGGCAACAAGGGCAGCTCGCATTTCGCCGCTCACCGAGCCCTCGAGGCGCGCTATCCATGGCCACGTACTACCCTTCCGGCGCCTCCGCGCTCCTGCTCCCCGTCCCGCGAACCCGCGCCGCCGTAATTTCCAGCGCCTAGCACAGAAACCCTCGATTGCTCAAGGCAGAGCTGAGCCGCGCCGTGCTGATGTGTTTTTTCTAGTTTCCGCAGAGGTTTCCCGGTCCGGCTTCCGGGAGGAGCTCTCCCTGTGCAGCTGTTCGGCCGCAGCGGAGGGGAAGGGGAGCGGTGGGCGTCGTGCGAGCATGCTTCAATCCTTTCGGGGACGAACGCATCCTCCGGGAGGCCTTGAAGGTAAATTCTGTGTGAAGCTGGCCTGGTATTGGGGTTGTTGAATTGGTTCCTCGGCTTGACGTTTATCTACAGTTGAGTATACGGTTCCTTGATGTGCATGTTTGCTCTACGAAATTGTTAACTGTCTGTTAGATTTAGATCCATCAGTTATGCTTAGGTAATCTCCCATGTAGTTGCAGATTTATAGAATTTCTAGTCTTCGAAAAGTCCTTTCTTGGCGTGCGTATATGAAAGGGGTAGTTTATCGTAATTGGTTACTTCTCTTATCCAAAAATAATTGTCTACTTCGATGTTCATGGAGTGAGGGAGTTCAAAAGAATGATACATAGGGTTCACTCTTAACTGCAGTTGTTATTATCTTCTCATCAGTATAGAGAAGGGAATAAAAATTAATAACTTCCATTTAGATATGTGTGTGTGTGTGTGTGATTCTCTTTGTGTAGTAAATGTTTGATTGATAAAGTTCTTGCTCAACAACAACAACAACAACAACAACAACAATAGCAAGCTTCCACGCACACCTGTCCATAGCTAGCTCTTTGGTGATACTCCAATCCTTCAGGTCTCTCTTAACGGACTCCTCCCATGTCAAATTCTGTCTACCCCGCCCTCTCTTGACATTCTCCGCACGCTTTAGCCGTCTGCTATGCACTGGAGCTTTTGGGGGCCTGCGCTGAATATGCGCAAACCATCTCAGACGATGTTAAACAAGCTTCTCTTCAATTGGTGCTACCCCAACTCTATCTCGTATATCATCATTCCGGACTCGATCCTTCCTCGTGTGGTCACACATCCATCTCAACATACGCATCTCCGCCACACCTAACTGTTGAACATGTCGCCTTTTAGTCGGCCAACACTCAGCGCCATACAACATTGCGGGTCGAACCGCCGTCTTGCAAAACTTGCCTTTTAGCTTTTGTGGTACTCTCTTGTCACAGAGAATGCCAGAAGCTTGGCGCCACTTCATCCATCCGGCTTTGATTCGATGGTTCACATCCTCATCAATACCCCTATCCTCCTGCAGCATTGACCCCAAATATCGAAAGGTGTCCTTCTGAGGTACCACTTGGCCATCAAGGCTAACCTCCTCCTCCTCACACCTAGTAGTACTGAAACCGCACATCATGTACTCGGTTTTAGTTCTACTAAGCCTAAACCCTTTCGATTCCAAGGTTTGTCTCCAGAACTATAACTTCCTATTTACCCCCCGACTATCGTCAACTAGCACCACATCATCCACAAAGAGCATACACC